TTACAAAAAATATAATTTGTAAGATATAGCTTTAAAATAAGAATTTGTTAATATGAATTGTGAATGTAAAGGCAAATGCTTTGTAAAGAATTGTCTTATAAATTAACTTTTACTGATTTTGAAGTAGCTTAAAGAAAAATGGTCCAAATAAACTTTGTATATGGATGATGATTGTATTTTGAAGATGTGGTCTTTTTATATGTGATAATGTTTGTAGATACATTGTTTGATAAAAATAAAAAAGTGATTTCATTTTTAAAAGTCATGAAATGTACATTTTGGTGTGATTTTTATGAATGGTATTTTGACTCATAGTTTGGAATGAAGTGAATGTGCAGTGCATAATAATTGCTAGTGTAAAAATGTGATGGGTTTAGAGTTTGAAATTGATGGAGCTTAAATATATTTAAATTGTCTGTGTTTGATTATTCAAAAGTAGGTGTAATTTCAAAATGAGCAATACAAAATGATAAAAACAGATTGGTTAATTTTTCACATTGATGAATTGTAATATTTAAACAATATTTGCTTCTTCTTAGTAAACAATTAGTGAGTTATTTCCCTTTACTTATTGTGAACAGTTTGATACATTGGAAAATTTCTATATTTTGTGTTGAAAGCAAGTAAGTGTATGTTACTTGATTATATTATCTTTTATTATTGCAGGTTTGGTTTATTGGAAATACAGAAGATCTTAGAGCGGTGAAAGTGTGGCGAACTTTTACTTTAACAGAGCCAAAATATTCAAAACTAAGCGGTGAAAGTGTGGCGAACTTTTACTTTAACAGAGCCAAAATACTCTAAACTAAGCGGTGAAAGTGTGGCGAACTTTTACTTTAACAGAGCCAAAATACTCTAAACTAAGCGGTGAAAGTGTGGCGAACTTTTACTTTAACAGAGCCAAAATACTCTAAGCGGTGAAAGTGTGGCGAACTTTTACTTTAACAGAGCCAAAATACTCTAAACTAAGCGGTGAAAGTGTGGCGAACTTTTACTTTAACAGAGCCAAAATACTCAAAACTAAGCGGTGAAAGTGTGGCGAACTTTTACTTTAACAGAGCCAAAGAATCTAGAGAAATCTAGTTGCTATTCATATCTCAATTTTTATTACTAGAGAAATCTAGTTGCTATTCATATCTCAATTTTTATTACTAGAGAAATCTAGTTGCTATTCATATCTCAATTTTTATTATCTAGAGAAATCTAGTTCCTATTCAAAACTCAATTTTTATTACTAGAGAAATCTAGTTGCTATTCATATCTCAATTTTTATTACTAGAGAAATCTAGTTGCTATTCAAAACTCAATTTTTATTACTAGAGAAATCTAGTTGCTATTCATATCTCAATTTTTATTACTAGAGAAATCTAGTTGCTATTCATATCTCAATTTTTATTACTAGAGAAATCTAGTTGCTATTCATATCTCAATTTTTATTACTAGAGAAATCTAGTTGCTATTCATATCTCAAATTTTATTACTAGAGAAATCTAGTTGCTATTCATATCTCAAATTTTATTACTAGAGAAATCTAGT